TTGTATATAAGTTGTTTGACCTTGTTTTCGCAACTTGGTCATATTGGTAGGAAGACTTAGAGGAACTCACTTAGTCCGGAGTCCCTTGTCTGCTTGATCATTTCCAAAGTCGGACCGTGGACGTGGTACATTCCCAGACGCTTCGCCGGCATCGTCAGTGAGTCTCGCCATTCGTAGCACCATAATACAACTCGTCAAAGAGACAAGTTAAGCCCATCCTTTGACCAAACGTGTGCTAAACAGTTGTACTATCTCCCCTTCTGCCCTGGGCTATTCACATTTCGTATATCCTTCTATCATGCCTTCCCTGTCACAATTTTTACCGTGCTTATTTTTAATGTAGTGTGGTGTGCTCCTTCGAGCGGAATTCATGAAAACCCTTCACACTCCACTCCCTTCACCCTTGTACTGGGAATGTTGACCTGAGTCTGTCATAATGTTACGTATTCCTTCCATGGGTCCTATCAAAGTCTCCCTCTTGCCCCGAAGAATACATCTGCTATCTCCCTGGTACATGTATTTCGTGCATGGTTCAACATTGAACCTAATCAAAGCCAGCGGTACCACAACTTTTGTGGGTTGGCACACAAGCGACTAGGACATGGCAAGTCATAGACTTGGTATAAGGGATAGAGACAGAATAGACGATGCGGCGATTGGAGCAAGTTGGCTGACAGTAGATTTTACAAGAGACGTGGTCCATGAAGCAAAGGCATGACCATGAGACTTAATCTGAGGCTTTTGCCCCTAATCAATCACCCAGGTGCAGGGGATGGACGAATTACACCTCGAGTAGCACAGATGGGGCTGGGCAGGGGTCGAGTGAAATACATGTACCAGGGAGATAGCAGACGGATTCTATGGGGCAAGAGGGAGACTTTGATAGGACCCAGGGAAAGACTACGTAACAATATGACAGACTCTGGTCAACATTCCCAGTACAAGGGTGAAGGGGGTGATAACGAGAGTGTGGAGTGTGAAGGGTTTTCATGAATGCCGCTCGAAGGAGCACACCACACTACATTAAAAATAAGCACGGTAAAAATTTTGACAGAGAAGGCATGATAGGACGTTATAGGAAATATGAATAGGTCAGGGCGGAAGGTGAGATACCACAACTGTTTAGCACACGTTTGGTCAAAGGATGGGCTTCACTTGTCTCTTTTACGAGTTGTTGAATGGTGCTATGAATGGCGAGACTCACTGACGATGCAGACTACGATGCCGGCGAAACGTTTGGGAATGTACCATGTTCACGGTCCTACTCTGAAAAAGATGATGCATACAATGGACTCCGGATTAGGTGCGTTCCTCTAAGTCTTCCTACCAATATGACCAAGTTGCGAAGACAAGTTCAAACAACCTCTATATATTTTATTTTTATTTTTAAGTAGATACTTAAGCAACCTTTAAAACCCCATTCTTCCCACTCCTTTATTTTGCCTTAAATGGTTGTTTTTTTATGTGTTCTTCATTTGAAGATATTTTCATCTTAATTTTGCAATTTTTTGCATCCACAGTTGCTAATTGCTCTCTAAATATTTGCTGATTCATTAAGATTAACTATTAGCAATTATTTGCTCGGAAGATTTAACTCAACGATTTGCCAAGCATGACCCTGTGTCCAACAATTTCACTCATTTTATAGCCCTTCATAGTCCAAAATTATGCTTCCTTATTTTTGTAATTTGACATTTTTATCTCCAGCTGGCTCGTGAGGACTCTGTAGAACATCTGCGGAGATTGCTTGCCGAAGCCAGTGAGACGGCTGCTAAGGCCGCTGCTGTGGACGATGACACGAGTGAACCTGGCGACGATGAAGATGAAGAAGAAGAACAAGAGTCTGATGATGACGAGGAACAGGAAGATGAAATGGCAATGCACAGAAGCAGGGGCATTCGCTCTCATCATATTTCAGACACTGAATTTCGGCCTGGTAGAACTGATTACGGCCGACATAGCAGTCCCGATCCCTTCGAGCAGGCCGGCTTAGAACCTATGTTTTGTGGTATGGACAAATCACTAACCAGTCTTGAGGAAAAGAAAGATTCGAAAAGAGTTCAGAGAGATGGTGGAAAATTTGGAAGAGAAAGCGGCAAAGAAGGCTGGCATTCGTCTTGTTCTCATAATGTCTATCTCGGCACACAGCGTTATCAACGACGGCCTGTTGAGCCAACGCATCAGCTTGACACCTTTAGCATCACAGGTGCATACGTTCATCCTTGTTCGGGCATCAGAACAGTCAATCTTCCCCGGCGCAGCTTGGAAGCCTCCATGAATCAAGTTGAAACAGATGCCTTTGCCGAAAACGACTTCAATTTTCGGTCTAGTGAGACGGATAAGGACCGTACTGGTGATCGTGATGGTGATGATGAAGATGAGTACAATGATGATGGCGATGGTGGGGAGGGCTATGGTGACGACGGAGCGGATGTCGATGTGGATGAGGATTTCAGTCTCCTTGATGAATTCGATCGTTTTTATGCCAAATCAACCATAATTTCCGACTCCTCAGACCAGAACGGCCTTGAGTGGGTGCCCTCCGAGATCGGGGCAAGTGCTTGTGAAGAGGAAAATGAATGGAGGTATCAAGGAGACCGTTTTGACTTCAAGCCCAAGCCAGGAGCCACGGAGGGGGAAGGGGAGCAAAAAGTGCCTTTATGTGCCGGAAAGTACAGCCCTACTTACAATGGTAAGGCCGAGAAGGGTGGTATGATTAATGAGGTGGAGATGTTTGATGAGCTTGATGGAGTGGATGAAGAGGATGAAGTTATCACATCTGAAGATGAGGACGAAGAGCTACTGTCGTCTGGAGTGCGAAGAGAAGCGAGTAACGGCGAAGTATCAGAGCACGAGAGAACTGTCGTGGCAACAAGAATGCCAGCTGAACTTGCCAGGCTTCAGGTTGACTGGGCAGGTCGGCTGGAGGAAGAGAGTGACGATGAAGAGGAGCTAGTAACTGTCGGTTGCTCAAACACTTTTGCTGGAACCTTGGAGACCTGTCAGACAACGAGGCCAATGTGCAACGGGAGTGTCTCGCGGCTAAAAATGACCAGCTCTGGTGTCGGTCATCGGCGCAGCCACGGGACTCATCTGAGGAGGCGGCTCACAGGGTCCCCATGCTTTCTGACTGAAATACCTGAGGAGGCAGAAGAGGAAGAGGAGGCAGAAGAGGAGAAGGAAGAAGAAGATGATGATGATGAAGAAGGGAAGCAAAAGGGCGGAACCAGGGAGGATGGTCGACTGGTGAGAAATGCAATTGCATTTTAAAATCATAGATAGCAGTAAACTATGCTTCAAATTAATTATTAATTTTGGCTTTTAATTCATTAACCAGAGGTATCATGTTTAACAAGAACTTTTGCTTGGCTGAACGCGTGATCCTATATCAAAGTGAAAAAGCATTTGATCAAAAGCCTCTTTCCTACTTCGCATAAATCTCTCGATACTACATGTACACATGTCGTAAAAATGCCTCCAACGCTTTGCATCATATCCT